GTTCACATGTGTTCTTCACTTCTGTTTTTCCGCGCACCAATCTTGCATGTCTTGCAAAACTTAGTTGAAGTTGCCGGTTTTGCCACGGACATCTCATCTGCCCTTATGGAGAATGAGATTGTACCCAAGTCAACCCCACCATTATCCTGGACCTGGACTTCTCCTCTCAGCCGCCTAAACCGTAAATCCAGAGGAGCATGATCCCCAAATCGTAGAAACCTTCATAGATCCTCAACGACAACCTGAGACCGCGCATCTACAACACAGAAGAGCGTCATGCCACAACTCGGGACCCGAATCAAAGCACCTTCGTAAGGCCGAGATCGAGGGCTCCTCTCAGAAACCCCAAGCCTGACATTCCTTCTGAACACAGAGCCCGACAGAGTACCTAACCTCACAAGACGAAAAGCTTGTACATCCCTGAACTCTAAACCCCAAAATGTCTAAGCCGTAAATTGAGGCAATGAATTCCTGGAGCCGCAGTTGGTGGAGGTGACAACCGAGCGTGACGAGCTCCGAAGCAGGCGGGCTGGAGAAGTCACTCAGAGGTGTCATTCGCTTTGAAGCCAAGGTTTGAGTTTCAGGTTGAGGCGTTAATGGTTTGGGGTTTAAGGTTTCGGGGTTAAGGAATCTAACGTACAGGCTTCAGGGCTTCGGGTTCGCTTTGCAGGAGTTCTTACGACTCCTCCAAGTGGTCTAGGCTTGGCGGCGTGCGCAGGGTTTCTGTACAATTTCCTTGTGCTGCATCGCCTTGAGTGCTGCTCCCGTACACATCATACTCTATGATATTATAGTATATACTATCGTACAGTATATCATAAATATAGTATTGTCAGATTATGTTGTATTGTATTGCATTATTTTTTACGATATATATATATATATATATATATATATATATATATGTATATAGACACATATGTTGATTTTAATCATAGCATGTAGTAAATACTGAAGTGTATAGGGTGGTAGTGTAAAGTATAGTGCAGAGTATAGTGTGTAATATAGTGTGTAGTATAGTGTATAGTGTAGTGTATTGTTTAGTGTATAGTATAGAGTATAGTCTAGTGTATAGTATTGTGTATAGGATAGTGTGTAGTATAGTGTATAGTATTGTGTTTATTCGTATAGTGTAGAGTATAGTGTATAGTATGGTGCATAGTACACTGTATAGTATAGAGTATAGTGTAGCGTGTAGTATAGTGTATAGTATGGTGTAAAGTGTAGTGTGTGGCATAGTGTTTAGCATAGTGTACAGCGTAGTGTAAAGTACAGAGTGTAGTATAGTGTATGGTATAGTGTGTGGTATAGTATAGTACAGTACAGAAAAGTATAGTATAGGACAATACTTATATTATTGTAGTTTAGTATAGTATATGGTACTGTATTACATGTTCATACAACTTTCTTTTCTGCTATAGGTATTGCACTGTATGATATCACATTATCATTCATGTTGCTATAGCGTACTGTACCATATTATATTGTGTTCTGTCAGCTTTGTTGTGTATACTATGTGTATATATATATATATATACAGACTATTTCATATATGCTACTATGAATCTTGCTGCTTTTTGCGGTGTGGAACAGAGGCCGCCGTCTCGCCGTCATGGCCATTGGCTATTAGACAGCAACACACTGCCGTAACGAGGCGAAAAGCCAGCGATATGTATCTATGTCGCTTGCTGTCATGACTTACGCGGACATGTAGTCAGGACGCTGGCCGGTTTAGATGTGATCGATGTTTGACGTGGCGCAAAGCATTGCAGGTGCGAGGAACTCGCGGCTCAGTACGAGTACATCAAGATTGAAGCCCCTGCTGCAGACAGACGCAGGGTTTAGGCTGGTTTAGGGTTTAGGAAGTTTAGGGCAAAAGTTTCAGGGTAGCGCAGCCCCTGCCCGCAGCTCCTGAAGGCCTTTCCAAATCCTAAACTCTGAACCTCTACACCCAAAGCCCCAAACGCTAACCCCGAAGCACTCCATTGAAAAAACTCCAAGGAAGCCGGCCTAGACGAAGACTCCATTGCAAAGAAGAAAGCGGCCGCCAAAGCCTACGAGGATCTCGCCCTGAGGTTTAGTGCTTAGGCTTTGGGATTTATTTGGGCTTTAGGGTTTGTTTCAGATTCGAGGGTCTAGCGATTCAGTATTGATTTGGGGTTCGGAGTGTGGGGTTTAGGTTTTGCGTTTTCAGCTGTTGGATTCAAATTCAGAGCTGTAGATGGATTGTCGAACGGTCAGTGCTTCAGCGTTTCTATTCTCGTGAGCTTTCGGTACTTGAGTTGAGATATTTGCGGGTATAGGTGTACTAGGTCATGATGTCCTGAAAATGTGCTAAATCGAACCCTCTAGTAGACGGCAGCGATGGGGTCTCGCACACGCAAACGTAAGGAATCTATTGGAAACTAGGGAATGCACACACACACACACACACACCCACACGCGCGCGCGCACGCACACTGCATATCCAGGAATTTAACTTTAACCGTGCGCCGTGCACCGGGGCTTCCTGGTTGTTCATGCTTTCGCCTCTATGCCTGTAGTGGTCCAACCTGTGCCCATGTTGTGCATGGGTTTCTTTGAGTCTTTGTATCTGGATGTTAGCCGCCACCAACATCCCCATGAAAGTGGGGTGCCTCGTGTTCGGAAGCCTTGCCTCCAATATTCACAGGTCCGAACACCCGCAACTCAAGCCTAATACTTTCGGGCTGTTATGGATCATCCAACCATCCGGCTTTTCTGGTTTTGGGAGGAGAAGTGACCCGTCAGGTCAGATACCCGAACCGTCAGTTCTTGGCTCTGTTCTTGTGGAGTGGTGGGTTTCAAGTTTCAGAGGCTTGATTGCTCTGGGTTGTGGTTGAGAGTTTGGGATTTGGGGTTGGGGGCTTGGGCTTAGAGCTTTTGGGACACGGTGTGCGGTCAGTTAAGTAGGGGAGATCCGAAGCCTTTTCCGCCTCAGGAAGAGTGGCAGAGGAGGCTCAAGGAGGCCGACCTCAACCCAGAATCCGCGGGGTACAGGGATGTGTATAGTGCCGGGCCTAACACGGTGTTGAGTTTTGGGGTGCTGGTTTGGTGCATTGGCTCAGGCATATTTACAGGGGTTGGACGGCGATTCTTTGGTGTCCGCAGTCTTCTTCACTTGTTCATTTCTGGATAACTTCGGATTTTCGGCTTATGGGCACAGGCAGTGTCGCTGATCAGGTGCCACCACGCTTTGTGCACTTCACGTTCACGGCAAAACGGTCGTATAAATTGCTAGAATCGAGCTTCGTTATTCAGCTGCATTCCTATTCATTCTTGCCTGGCGTAGTTTCCAGTGCATACACCCCCCTCCTTTGCCTCCAGAAAACGGGTTTAAGAATTGGGAGGCCGCCAGGAAAGTCCAGTCGACTCTGACAATTAGGAGGTGGTGGACTGTCAGGGTTTAGGATTGGCGTTCACGGTTTAGGGATGTTTAAAAGTTTAGGGCGTTTACCCTGTTAGGTGTGTATCTGTGTTCACGAAGGCATCGGTCTATGAATGCTTGTGGTATGGATTTTCAATCTCCAGCTGCCCTCATTTTGTGTGAGAGATCAAGGTCTTGCAATCTTGAAGCACTGCTGCTCCCCATCAGCAATCTCCCGCATGTAAAGATGATAAGACCACCGAAGCACATTCGATATCATCCCGAAAGACTTCAACCCTGCTTAACGTCCATGCCGTAAGCATGCACGAATGCTGCAGGTGGAGGATCAGGTTGTCGAGCTGCAGGACAAGTACGACAACGACACGGACCGACTGAAAGGGTGAGGGTTTTGGTTTCAGGTTCAAGGATGTTCAAGGCTTAGCGAGCCTAGGGGTGACTTGGGTTGGGCTTGATGCCTACACTGGGTTCTCGATCACAACATACTCTTGTTGGTGGGCTTTTGCAAGAACGGTAGGTAGACAATGCTTGTGTCCCTCTATCGCCTTCTGTCTCTCTCGTAGTCTTATGTATTTGTATGTATGTATGTATGCATGTAATGTATGTATGTATGTATGTATATATGTATGCATGTATGTATGTATGTATGGTTGGTATGTTGGTTGGTTGGTTGGTTGACTGGCTGGCTGGCTGGTTGGTTGGTTGGTTGGTTGGTTGGTTGGTTGTGTGTTGGGTTGTGTGTTGGGTTGTGTGTTTGTTTGTTTATTTGTTTGTGTGTTTGTTTGTTTGGTTGGTTGGTTGGTTGTTTGTTTGTTTGTTTGTGTGTTTGTTTGTTTGTTTGTTTGTGTGTTTGTTTGTGTGTGCGTTTGTGTGTATATGTAGATGTACATTTAGATGTGCTGTCTTGTATACGCATATATATATATATATACACATGTACAGATATCATATTATTATTTATATATGCCTATATCAAATTTAGCTATGCACGCACAACACACACACAAACACACAAACACTTACACACTTACACACCCACACACCCACACACACGCACGCACCCACACACCCACACACCCACACACCCACACACCCACACACCCACACACCCACACACCCACACACCCACACATCCACACGCATACGCACACGCACACGAACACACACACACACACACAGACATCTACATCTACATCTAATGTACATGTACATTTACATATTTACACATGCAAACACACATAACAGGTAATAAAGCTTCAGAATAAAGCCAAAGCCATTCTGTTCTGGAACATAGCAGCTTCGGCTTTGTTCTGAAAGTACAGCCTTTCACTGGATTATTGAGGAAAGAAGTATGCGAATACTGAGCAATAGAGGGGTCGCAGAAGCACAGTGCAATAAGAACACATGTTATGTCCATATTTGCAGCATGCTCATGAGCAGCCGGGCTCGAGATTTGATCAGCTTCAGAGACTTCCTGGGTGTTCGTTTCTGCTTCTATAAGTCTGTAAGGTCGCCACAGCCGCCATGGCATCTGTAGACGTCCTCTCACTGGCAATGAGCACTTTGCTTGTGTTGCAGGCCTTGGGAAAGCCACCCCATGTACCAGGTCGTGCAAGCTACCTTTGATTGGCCCCTTGTGCGAATTGTCAGCCACATCGACAGCACTGTTGCTAGTGTATTTCGGCGCTATAGAGATCTACATAGGCACATAGGCATTGGTTTCGCACGGTTGCTGTATTGCCGGAAGCGGGCGGTCGAAGTCACATTGCTTGTGTGGTGTTTGTGTATCCCGGCGAGCATGCCAACCGGTTGGGTTCTGTTTCTCCGGTCGCTGGTCGACGAGGGATTGAAGAAGAAGATTCCTCATATCAGGATCCTATTGCTTCTGAGTGGGCTCTGCATAGAGCGCTTGCAGGTCGCCGGCATTGTCGCCCTGCATGACAGAATGAGCTTCTTCTGCCCGCTGAGCTTCGGGATCATGCTCGCAATCATACTCTTCATCTCGAACTTTGGGTTCATCTGTTGGGCTGGAGCGAGGCTCTGGATTTCAAAGGAGATCGCTCGGTTGAAACAGGACATCGAAGACATCGAGAATGTGACATAGCTGCTTGCAAAGAAGTGAAGCGGAACAAGACACTGCTTTTGGGAAGCCGTGGAAGGTGCATCTGGTTTAATAAAACGCGCTTTTGGCATGGGTTGTTGCTTGTTGCGGTCTCTTTTGCGGATCATGCGGGTTGCTTTCGTGTCAGCATGTCTGTCCGACTTTCTGCTGGTTACTGGGCAAGCCAGCACCATACTCATACTCTTAGCAGTCTTACAGTCTGAGCAGCGAGTCCGAGCCCAGTCACTTCTGGGTGTGGAGCTTCGCTCGGTGCGCGACCCGGCCCGAGCATTGATTGGCGAAGATTGTAGATCACGCCGAACCTGGCCCCGTGTCGTGTGCAAAACGTGCCTCTTATCGTTCCTAGGTCTACGCCGGCATATTGTATCTGAATCATAGAAGCACCTTACGGTATCACCACCCGAGGTGTCCCCATATAACTACTATATCTTACAACCCCCAAAGCCAACCTTTACTAGCAGCAACTGCACTCTCGGATGTCTGATGTGTCTCAAAGTTTCGCATACATGGTTGGACACGCTCTTCTGTGTTTCAGGGTTTCCGGTTGAGGGGAGTCATCATGGCTGGCTCGGTCTAAGGGTGATGCAGACGCAGGCCCAGACTGATAGGTGATACTGCTTGAGCCGAATATTTGTCCGAGATTGTACTCCGGATTCTGAAACCGGGATGTGCGGAGCCCCATCAATTGGCTGCTGGCCGCCTCCAACACCAAAAGCTCAAGCCCTTCAATCTGCCAGCGACGTGCTGAAGCCTTGCACCAGTGTGGTTTCTGTCATTGGAGCATTTGCTGCGCTCTATATGTCGCGCTTTTGGAGGTTCTGCTCGAGCGCGGTTAGCATTCAACCTTGATGCAGAGTCCCTCAACCGCAAGCCTTACAGCAAGCATTAAACCCCAAACCTTCCAGGACGTCAAGATGCCATGGTATGAGGGGTTTCGACACTAATTACACAGCCACACATACAAGCATGTTCCTGAGGGCTTTGATTCGAAGCCAACATCCGCTCCCCTGAATTAGCCTCTGAACCTGCGAGGAAGAGCTCGCCAAGCAGCTCAAGGCCTTGGCAGGGCTTGGCAGGGCATAGGAACCCTTACGGTAACCTTGAAACTGCCCTTCTACCCTAAGCCCTACAGTGAGAAGCATCCTGCAGAGTGCTCACATCGCGAACGAGCTGTGCTGAGCTCTGAATGCCTAGGGCTACGAGCTTGAAAGCCTAACCTGACCAAGCCCTAAGCCCAAGCCAGGAACACTTAACTAGGCCCAGGAATCCTCCCCAACAACTGTTAATCGGTCAACCATCGAATCAGGCACTGTAGCCTGGCATCCAGAGAATCCCAAGCCCGACAAGTGAACCTCGAAGCCTGAGCCAAAGTTTGATCCCAGGCTACTCAGTCGAAGCTGGCCATCGTTCAGCACACCCTCGATTCCATGAACTTCCAACCTGGCAGCACGTGCAGCCCTCAGAATCTGCAGTCGTCCCCAGCAAGCCCAAACGGGTGTAAAGTTTCGCGCATAGGACTTGGAGTGTTTAGGGTTCCGGGTTCAGGCTCCTGAAACCTAGGCAAACACCAGAAGCGCGGGAGCCCGAAGCCCGCGAACCTGAAAACCCTCATCCCTACACGAAAAACTTCCAAACCTCAAGCCTCAAATGCTGGAAGCTCGCCCGCGGATCTCTACCAAGACGTGAAGCTACCCGGGCCCGTAGCAGTAGGGAGTCCCAGAGCCCGGTGCCCGTATCTAAGTCTACGCAATACGCAAATTAGAAGCCCGATAAGGTTTATGGCATCTCCTAAACCCCAGACCCTGAACCCCAAGACCCCTAACCACTTTTAAGTGTTTCTTGGTGGGAATGCATACTAGTACTTTATTCAAAAAATCAAAGGACTGGAAGCATCTAGGTTTAGGGTGCCAGTAAGGGTTCCACACGGTTGCATTTTTTTGGGGTTTAGGGCTTCTTTAAGTTCAACGCGTACGGTATGAGCCTTATCAAGGTTCTGGGGATGGGTTATCAAGTGTCCCTGAAAGGCAAGTCTATCCGGGCTACACATGAACCGAAAATTCGAGCTTAAAGCATCTGGCCGACGGCCGACCCTACGAACCCCTGGAAGATCCCGAAGTAGAGCCCTAAAGCTGCCGACGAAATTCGGGCTCCGAGGGCGGACCCAGATGCCCTCCGTGTCGTGCCGAATGGCCAGGGTATCCTCTGTTGTGGATGCACCTGGGACCGCGTCACCAGCATGGAGGGAGGTTTGTGGGTGTTTCTGTGAAGAGGTTTGGGTCGGCGGATTCAGTATTTTGTGATTGGGTGTTTCCGGGTTGCTCACTCATGACTCTGCAAGTCTGCTACTTGTAGCATCCATTGTGCTTCTCACCCTTTAAAGACTTCCACCTCAACAACACAACAGTAAACACCAGGTCTGCGAGACTTTCGCCACTGCAAGCCCTGACTTTCGGCATCCTTCAGTCCCAGATCCCCAGAGTCTAAGCCCCGTCAGATGCCCTGCTGCAATGCCTGGCACGGAAGGACCTTCTTCTATTCCGGGTTCATGTCAGAGCGCCTTATAGCTGTTAAAACTGCACGATCAAGCTCAAAAAGCGATTTTCAAAATGCCCTAGCCCTAGCACACCTGACAGTAGCCGGAGAAAACCAGGCCTGAAGCAGATTGTCCTGCGTGATGTCACGCCGATGCCTTGGCGCAGGGTTTTGGGTTCGGGTTCAGGTACGAGTATGCTGTAGGGTGCAGTGGACAGCTCTTGCCGGCAAACACGTCAGCATGCAGCCGTGGGAACAAAACGCTGATGGCGGGACTGACAGGGGGCCCTCTGCCGAAAACTCGCAGTTGAGAGGAGTTCGGGGCCAATCTATGACTGTTGCACAGCTCTCCATTCCGAACCAGGCCTTTGCCTCCGAAGAACGCGATGTCGGCCTCGACGCCCGATCTTGACTCGGCCCTTGAGCAGCATTACGTAGCAAACTTGGAAGAAGGTTGTTCTTATCTTTGTATGTTTACAGGCATGGAAAGCAAGACCTATGGACTTAGCTGCATATAAGGGTTCAGGGTTATAGTTTGACAAATCTGATGCAGGTTTTGTTCACGATCACTAGTTGCCCCGTTCTACCTCTGTTTCCCTGGTCAACTGTCGTCAGCAATTTCCATGCGGACACAATATTGCGGAGGTGCCGGTGCTGGTGCTGGTGGTGCTTGCTGGCGACGGTGTGGTGCTGGCGGTGGTGCTGGCGGTGGCGGTGGTGCTGGCGGTGGCAGTGGTGCTGGCGGTTGTGCTGGGCGCTGGGGCTGGTGCCGGTGCCGGTGCCGGTGCTGGGGCTGGGGCTGGGGCTTGTGCTGGTGCTGGTGCTGGCGGCGGCGGTGGTGGTCCTTGTCTTGCCTGTTATCCAGAGGGTGTCCCGATGACTCCGCAGTATCCCGAATTCAACACTTGGCCCATCCATTGACTTTACGCGGCCGCTCGTGTCTTGTAAGCCAGGCACGCAGAGCCTTCTTCAAGAAGGTGCCAGACGGGTTCAGGGTGACGGTTGAGGCTTTGAAGGCCATGTGGCGATTCCGGTCTTAGGATTACTCTCAGAGAGTATTGCTGGGTTCCGCTCCGGTTTCTTCAGAATTCAGGGTTCGGCGTTACGGGTTTACGGCATGCTCTGGGGTGTTGCAGCGTCGACAGGCAACGACAAGTGTGTCGATTGCAGATGACTTTGGCATCGGGCTTCTCTGTGAGTGCCTTTTGTGACAGCATCGGCATCCCTACACACGCGGCGAATTGGCAGTTCTACATCCCAACCTTCGCTCCACGCGTCAACCTTTCATATCTTTCATGTCCTCCTGAACCCCAGCCAGTCTAAGCTCGAAGCCTCAGGGTTTAGGGTCTTGTCATGATCGTTGTTATTCCAGCAACAGTCTCGAGTCGACATCTAAGGCAGACTTGAAGAGGTAAGTCTACACCACAGCTACAATGGGCTCCCATCTCGAAATCCTCAACGGAACCACCGTTCCGCCAAACGCCCAAGTACAGAAGGCGACCCGAAATCTCATGCGTATTGTGCTCTTATAGAACCCTCAGAGAGACCTTGTAGAACCCACTTGGAAACATAAAACTGAACAGTTTCGAACCCTCGTAGACTAGCCCGGAGAGCTTTCGCCGCATAGGGCCTCGGCGGAAGACTTCAGCAAGATGACAAGTGAGGGCCTTAGAAGCAGACTTAATTCAGGACTGTGAGATGTTTCAGTTTAATGGCTTGAGAATGTGCAGCGTAAGGGTTTTAGAATTTAAGGTTCAGGTTTGATTTAAGGTCTCGTGTCGGCCGTGATTTGCTAGTTTTCGTACTCAACGTCTCAACGTGTTGGCTTCAGGATTTGGGTTTGAGGTTCTCTAACGTCTAGGAAAACTCGCACAGGTCCAGCACATCTTTCCAGGAACTTCAAGTAGGTTGATGGTTTCTAGGTTTTTGTAGCCCAGAACTAACTTAGGTGGTATAAAAAGGTCATGTAAGTGCAGCGGCTTGACAGGTTTCCTACGGTCGATCAGAGGTATGTAGAGCAAGCGTCGTAGTAAGCGTGCACTGCGGGCCGAAATCTGTAATTCCTGTTCGGTCGGGAGCTAGAAACAATACAGGTTTCACTGTACGATGACCGTGCGAGCAGATGCGGGATTTGTTGCCTAACGTAACCCTTGGCATCCCCCGGCAACGAGCGTTGAATGTGTCCGAGGCCTCCTGGGATTGCCTGTTACTACTGCTGCTGCTGCTACTACTACTACTGCTACTGATACTGCTAACTGCTAGTACGACTACTTCTACGACTACTACTATACTACTACAACTACTCCTTCTTCTAATGTTACTGCTACTGCCACTTAATCCTGACTGCTTCATGAAACGCCCCCGACTGCTCTTCCTGGCAATCGTATAGCCAAGAAACATGCCCCAAACTCCATGCTTAGAGTCCGACGCCTTCGCTAACCTTTCAGGAT